GAGAGAGAAAGAGAGAGAGAGAGATGTTCACATTTTTATGCATGTTACATAATACCCCTTTATTGAATTTACTATTCCCAGCTACTTTCTTGTGTAATGTACTGTAACTCGACTTGCAAATGAGTTCTAAGAAAGTGAAGGCCGACTGCAGTTCCGCGTAGGCCGAAGGATCCCTTCCGGAAGAATGAATATTCAAGCCATTGCTTCCAATTCTGTCACCTCGAGTTTCCGCACTACAATGGGTATGATTCATGCCTACAATGCTTCTCACCGTGGTTCCTCCCTCACGGAACATTCAGCTCTGTGCGATAACTTCTCTTCTCCCAAATTAGGTCCTGTGGGATGGATTATTTGTGACGGACTGTTCCGCTGAAATGAATCAATTCAGCGTGATAACATGACGGCGCCGCTGACAGGTCTGGCTGAGGAACCATGAGTTTCAGTGTGATAGATGTAGCCTAGAGAAGTAGTACGCCATCAACTTTCCGCAAAATTTCGTCCACTGACGTCATATAGAAGTGGTAAATGTATTTAAGACCGTTGGTGTACTCCGAGAAGGAGGTCAATGACCTTTGATGGAGTATTGTATGTCAGTTGTGTCCGTAAATCCGCAGTTGTAACTCACGGGCCCTTTTTTTTACTGCGTTGGTAATGGGTTATAGCATGTTGTCTGCTTGTATGGGGCATGGTGCCCGATGTTTTCTTTTTATTCCGTGACAGTTTTTATAGATCATGCAATATTTCAGAAAACACACAACTTCTCTTCTTCGTAAACTCCGAAGAGAACTAAGTTTCCTGTCTATTCACAAACTGGACAGACATATGGGTAGGGTAGTCGTGCGCTCAGAGGGGTTGGGCGGGGTGGGTACTCAACCGCTCACTATGAAGTGGCGACGACGAATGAGGATGAGTCGGAGGGTAGGTAGGGGGTAAGAAGTGAGGACCAATAGGAGAGGGTTACGGATGGGGGAATATCCGTCCAATTTGTGAGCCGACAGGAAACGTGATTATTTTGATGGATTTAGCTTTGTGAGTGTGTATACAAATAGGATTTTTCTAAGTAGGTGTTGACTTTTACTTACTTTGGCATTGTTTTAGAAATGTGTGTGTGTCGAATGACTTTTTGTCATGCACCAGAGAGGCATATTTTTAGTCCTACAGCAAACACTAATTATATAACACTACAGTGAGTACTACGTATACTGGTCCGCCCTGCGTTCAAATAGAATATTCTTGAGCACGAAGGGCGAGAACAGAAATAGCCGAGGCTTACCTGGAATTATATTCGAATCTCCCGGCTTCTACGGGCCAGTGCATTTCCATTAACCCTTCCTCTCCTTGTAACGAAATGACGAGGTGTAGGTTGCGTATTTGACTTTGAGTCTGCACGCTGGAAATGGACTTTAGATACTCTTTAAGGCTGCCATCCTAAACGCTTGACCATTTTTGTGAAATTACACATGGGGAGAAGAGAGAATATCCTGGTCATTATGCACAAGGTCATGGTCAGATGCTGCCCAACGGCTAGGCTATCTAATGAGGTGAAGATCGCATCAAAGTTCAAAGTATAAGATTAAATAGCCCTGAATTGCCTGCAGAGCAGTCTTTGATTGCATACGATCTACCAAAGTGAACGACCAGTACATGCTAGTTACAGGCGACCAATGGTTACAGGTGGCCAGTTGACACTGCTGCCATTGCCCGCTAGAATCTGCTTGGAGATTAGCTTTAATGTTCATCTTAGTGGACATTTCCCTGCGACTACAATGGTTACGGAGAGGACGCCACTTTGCCATAATGTTCTGGGCATCACACGACCTGTGGCAATCTTGATGTAGATAACATCGAGAAGCAAGCTCATACCAATTCACCCTCGTGTGCAGACTAGACCTGTACCTGCTAGTTACAGGCGACCCATGCTTACAGGCGGCCAATAGACGCTGCCATTGCCGGCTAGAATCTGCTTGGAGATTACCCTTTATGTTCATCTTAATGTACATTTCCCGGTGACTTCAATGGCTAGAAAGGACGCCACTTTGCCATAATGTTCTAGGCATCACACGAGTTGCAACAATCTTGATGTAGATAACATCGAGAAGCAAGCTCTTACACATTCACTCTCGTGTGCAGACAGTATATCTTCGGTTTCTTCTTGAGTCATCACTTTGCCACAGCAGTACAATGCACACTGTCTTTCTTAGAGCTGAATTATGTAACATTAGAACGATACAAAAGTAAATCAGGTAATTTTGTTACAAAAAAAAGTTGAATCAACCCTACTATATTGCAAATGAGTGTCATTAGCAACACAATAGGATTGTTTTAGGAGAGCTTTAAAAGCTAGAAACACAGCCGTTATGGTTTAAATTCTGGTATTTTGTGGTGGCACCACAAATTCAAGAACCACATCGAAGTTCTTTCTCCCTCGACTTCCACCTAGTCTCCCTCAATATACCGCCTCAGTTGTGTGCTATTCTCCTGTGGTTTGTGATCATTCTGCTGGAGAACAGACAATGACACCCAGATATCCTCTGAAAATGTAATGTTGAAATCTAGTCACATAGAGAAGCAGTGCACAATGCATTAGGAGTCGGGGAGGTAACGCCAGAGATAGGGAGATATTAACACTGGCGCCATGGAAATTCCAACCTTACAGGAGTACTTGTATTTTGGCAGCACAAAGGTACGCGTAGGCACTATCAGTGCAGATGCGTCATAGGTCAGGTTTCTAAGGTTTAGGATTCACTAGGTAGGTTTGTATTTTAATAGCTTTGGCGTACTCAAAAGTAACTCTTCTGCAGAGCCACTGTCAACCAGAAACCGTCATTCAGGCGACTCACATGATTATTACAGACTAGTTGTGTGTTTGTATTAGCATAAAAGTTCGTTTGAGTTGGTAATCAGGACACACCAACCTTCTCTCACTTGGTACGGTGGGCGGCACCGACTTCCGACGAACTTTGACCTGGTGCTTGCGTCACACGTGAGACGGGCATAGCTCCATGTTTACAGCACTCGGGTCTGATACACTGGATAGCTGATGAAGACAGAGATAATGTCGAAACTTTCAGGGAGTCAATCTTTTTGAGTTGGAGAACAGTTTATTTTCCATTAGGTATGTGTTTCTTCTGTGCATATTCCTACATCGCAGATATAGAGGCTAGGGAATTCGGTTGCAAAACGGGGTCAGATTGCCCTACTTTCGTCGATTGAGTGGGAGCTGCACTTAGTTGCTATTGACGTCATGCGCTTGCAGATACTATCATCATATCTCCTTGCATATTTAATCCTGTGGACGTCAGCACGCGAAGACTGCGTGAAAAAAAAAAATATTTGACACCTCCGCAGGCGATATTTTGGAAAAACATGAAAGGGTCGATTATCTGTGACCAAGAAAGCGGGCAATCTGTAGCACTCCTCCCACGACCAGGTCCCATTGCTAATTTCCTTCGTGTTACATCTTACCCTGCTTGACAAGCTGTTAGAATAATTCCCGCTCGCAAAGATAACACTCTAGATCCGGGCGACCACTAGCGCTATCTCTTCCCAACAGGGAGCCCGATCTCTGCGCTCTATGCATACATCCATGCCGTAATGAGCCTTCACACAGACGACCTCTTTAGATACAGAGTTTACCAATTCCGACTAATGACACTATGCAAAGATACCCCGCTAGATCTCAGGCCTCACATGCTGCTATCGGCCGGCCATACGGGAATCCCTAATACCTATGGCCTTTTCA